AGGCTGTATTTAATTTTCCTGAAGCCGATCCCTGTAACAATCTCCGCAAGATTTCCTGTAAAAAACAAAATCTAGTGAAATGTCATCCACTGTGCTTGTTTCTTTGAAGTAAAGCTTAATATTGTTTAGCTGAAAACTTTAATGATTAACAAATAACATACAATCCAAAATACTCTTGAATTTAAAACTAGAAAGTGTTTAGGTTTTCCCACATAGTAAAACATCATCAGAATTCCATAGAGACTGAATTAAAATAAAATCTATGTTACCAAACAACATAACCTTTCTTACTAAGTATAGGTTTTCACATTTGGTCAAGACCTAGTTTAACAGACTGAAGAATGGAATTTTTAAATTCCCTGCAAAACCTTTTAAGATAAATGGAAGACAATATGTTTATCACTTTTTGGCTGTACTTACTCTCACTCTTTTGGAACTAAGGGCTACTCAATGGCTATGAAACCATCATCTCATTGTATATGAGAAAGAACAAAATTAAATGTATTAATTTTAGCTTTACTTAGCTAAAGACAAATGTAACATTTTTTATCTACTGTGCCATTTGCTGGACAAAGACTGCAGTATCTTCTGCCAGTTATCCCTCTAGGGCAGTCTAATATTATAATTCTGATTTCATTGTTAGCTTCATTTAAATGTTATTTGTTTAATTTTCTGTGTTGTAGATGGCTGTGAGGAACACATCCACCAAATCATACCAATTGCAATTAAAAAGCAATTGAGTTGGATGTTCTGGAAATATATGTAGTTTTTCTCTTACAAAGGAAATTTTGTAGCTAGCACAAGAAAATCTAAGGGTGCTTCATTCTGTATGTGGTTTCTTTGTAGTCTTTAGTGAGCCCACCAAAAACCGTTGGGAGCAACCTGATCTGCATATGGTGCTGAATGTGTTTTCAGCTGAAGCTTGGACTAGACCTTCTGAGGTTCCTTCCTGCCTGAATTAGTCTGTGAAGCTCTGAATTATAATTACACCTTAGACCCCATTAGTAGGAGCACCTTGCTGACAAGGCATGGTCTTACTTGTATTTGTCAAGTCAAATTACGGTGGCCAACAGTACTTGGTTAACTCAGTGATGAGAAATTGGAGGTTATATCTAGTAAGTAGAAGGATTTGTGTGTGTAAAGTATTGAAAAGCTGCTCCCCCGTGGGATTAACCAGTCTTTGCAGGCACTAGTTTCAAGGTGGGATTTTACTGTTCTAGCTACCTAATATTACAAAAGTAGCTTTGTGCCAGAATAGCTTCTAGGAGAGGACCATGACCAAAGCATTGCCTCTTTAGAAACTTTTGTCTCTTAGGAAATCATCACATGTAGACATATTCAGCTTTGGTGAATGTAAAGTGTGGATAGAAAAGAAGTACCATTATTTTAAAAGTTTGTTTGCAACAAGAGTCTTGTTCCAAGAACAGATGCTTTGTGAAACACAGCATGATGGGCTCATCAGAGCGGGCCACCGCTTGGCAGTTGCGCTTACTGAGACACTGAGAGAGGCTAAACACAGATGCTTTTTACAAAGAACTGTCATGACCTCATCTGAAGTTCAAAGTTCATCTAAATAAGCTTACAGTTGGCATTTAGTGCAGAGAGAAGTTTCCAGCCTCAGATCCGTGTGGAGCAGTGACGCTGGTGGTTGCAGCCGTCTGAGGGGTTGCAGTTGCTGGAGAGCTGCGGCGTTTTGGAGGGGTGGGTAACATCTGTAGCTGTGAATGACTGACTAAGTTTAGTGCCCAAATTCAAAGAGGGTTGAAAACTTTGCCCCACAAAATGTCTTTTAAGAAATTAGATATCACAATTTAAATTAAACTAACTTTTTTTTTTGTTTTGGCAATTATTGCACTTTTTTCTGTAGGGTGCCTTTATCTTCCTACAGTTGCCATACGTTTATTTTCAATATACCTATTATTACAAGAAGTAAAACGTATTGCTTTGAAGTATTGTACACTGAAAGGGGACATAGTATGGCAATGGAGTAAATCTCTTTCAGGGAAATTTAGCAAAAAAGCCAGGCTAAAAAAAGCATGGGATATTTGTTATGGATGACTGCCTACAGAATAGTTATAAGAAGGCTAAGGAAATCTGCTGTCTTTTAGAAAATGAGTTGGAAGGTGCAGATTTACTGTATATTTGACTTGATCATTTTTACAGTACTGTGGGTGGATAATAACCATGGTGATTGTTATTCTCTGCTGGAACAGAACTTTATGAAGTACACTAAATCTGCTCAGGAACACAAAAGATCAATGTAGTAAAAGCACGGATTTTTTTTAGTACCTAGCGTGAATTATACTTACTCTTGATGATGGGTACTTAGAAAAATGACTGGAAAGAAAATGAAAACCTGAATATGCTTAGTGGGTGCCAAATAATTACCATCAGCTCGCAGACTTTCTGCAGTTACAATAGCAATCTTTAATTTTATCTAGAGATGTCAAAAGCAGAAAAAAATGGAAAAATGTATCATGGTGAATAAACATGTAACGTTTATTTCAGAACATCATTATCTCTGTCAGCTTTTACTTAGGGAATTTGGCAATGACAAAAAGGATGAAATAATGTATTTTGACAGTATGCACAGAGGATTTCAAGCAAAAAGTAATGGGATTGCCCAGAAATTGTCTTCTGAATAGTGCCAGTATGCATTTGTGTATACAGTACTGCTTGCGAACGCTGCTTGAATTCATTCTTTGCGACTCTTAGGTTTATGTGCTTTTTGTACTTTTTACTTACCAGAGAAGCTAAGAGCTTCTAAACGCTTAGGAATATAAGTTTGAATACCATTAGATTATTACATTCATTTCCTATGAAATGTTGCGTGAAATTCCATGAAAGTTGTCTTTTTTCCACTTACCTAAATTTGTTTGATGATGATAGTAACTGAACATTGTTGTTATTTAGTGATTCCTCCTCTATGTGAAACAAGTTACTCTGTTTCCTGCTGGACCTCTCAAAAGGTTTCTACTTCATCACAAGGAAACTACAGAGAAAAACAAGTTCTGTGCTTTGGGTGGGGGAGGAGGGTTGAAAACGGATAGAATTGTTCTGTGTTTGAAAAAACTGGACATACCAGCCAGTCTTTTTGTAAATGTTTTGCTGATAGGAGTCAGGGCAGGTGGGAACAGAGAGCAACTCCAACCTTTTAAATATAGGCTGGAGATGCAGGAAAGTGCCTAGCATGATGTTGTTACTGACCTGATATTTTTAGTGAAATTGTTATTATTCCAACTATAATAAAAATACATGGAGTAGCTCTAGAGCTACCTAGGAATTCTGGCATTACTGTTTTCTTTTTAACAGAAACAAACAGCTGATTTACATTTGTTTATTTTCCAACATTCAGTGACCCCTGCAAAATTCCTATTTTCTGCGACAGGAAAAAAACTTCCAACAATCCACAGATAATAGATTTTCTTGAACATTTCACCTACTTTAAAATAATTTGAATAGGTGCTCCTTTTATCCACAGCAAACTTTTTAATCATTTAAAATTTATTTTGTACTTGCTTGAGGGATTCTGAGCTTCGCTTTAGAAGGCTGCTGTCCTTTAGGTATCAGCTCTTCAGATTTGTGCGTACACTGAATGTTGGAGGTGCCCAGAATATTTACATTTCAGATTAACTGGCTTCTAAGATTGATTTCAAGAAATATTTTTTCAATAGGACTTTGAAAAACCTTCATTGAGGAGATTCTTCTGAGCCTTCTTTACAAAAATGTTTGGATTTGGCAAATCCATTTGGCAAATCTGCATAATTTATTATGCAGATATAAGGAAAAACATTAAAAACAGATTTAAAAAAATCAAAAGATCTAACTTTTTAGTGAAAGTTAATTCACTGGAGCCTGATGTTTTGGAAACCTCTTGTTACATCAGTTTTATTGAGTGCTGTAAGGAGCATTACTGGCAAGGACAAGGAAGGGTAAGAGGGGAAGGTAAAAAGGTTCTTTTCTTAAAAAGGCAAAAAAGAAGAGAGAAAAGCATTGTTCCAGATCAGGGATGCAGAAAGCAGCAACACAATCTGATATCCATCCAGGCTTTCTGTTATTGAAGATTAACTGAAAAGATGTTATCAATGAGTGCAGTAATCAGACTATAATTATTTTTGAAACATTATAAGGCAAGCATGTTGGCATACCTTGATCAAGATTTTCAAAAGTGACTAATTGTTTTTAATTTTCAATTTTGAAATGTGTAATATGAAGTTTAAAGGAACGTGATTATCAGAAAATGCTGAAGAGTCATGTGGAAAATGTATTGTCTTAAGCTCTAGTAATTTGAGGATGTAAAATCACCTGTCTCATCAAGAAAATGCTGATTCTTGTCATTTGGTGGCTGGATTGATAGCTATTCCCCTGGATTTCTGAGGGCTGGTAATATGATCATATATTTTTCATCGCTTTACCAGTTTGGGCAATGTGCAGAAGCGATACAGCTAGAATTTGCTGTCATGTAATAGCTGCAGAGTAAATTGTTGGCCTGTTTCTAGCGCATAATAACCAAAGGTCCATATAAAAAGAATCATGCAGGGTCAGTGTGACCATGCGGGTGTTGGTGAACATGTACCCGTTCTTACTTTTTTCGGGCAACGAACCCAAGATTTTGGCAAAGGAGAGGTTTAATTTAAAAGATGAAATTTCAAGACTGACATAAAAGTGATGTGATCGTACCCCGCTCCCTGTCATTTCCAGGGCAGTTATAAGTGACCAGTAGCTCTCAGAATTAGCCTGTTTATGATTCGGCATCTCTTTTCCGATCATATTTATAGGTGTTATTTTTGGCATCACAGAATATTCTGTTTGTAAGCTTTTTTACATACTTACATAACATGTTTTCTGCTTTAGGAAACCTTAGTATTTATGTTTGGTTTTCATTACTGTATAAATTTCATAAAATAAGGTTTTATAATTAAAAGAAATTTCAAAAATGATAGTATTGAATCTTACAAGAGTAAAGTTATCATAAGATACAATTGTTTTTTATGCTACAGATCTCAGACTTTGGAGCATGTGTCAGACACAAAAGAAGAGCTATTGGATGCAGGCCCAGCAGACAGACTGGAACATGATACCAACAAAAACACAGAGGCTGGCCTACCCTCCTTGTGTCTCAAGCAAGTGTTTCCAAAGTATGCTAAGCAGTTCAATTATCTGCGACTTGTGGACAGAGTGGCTGCATTGTTTATCCGATTCCTTGGTGTAAAAGGGACAACAAAGCTTGGGCCAACAGGTTTCCGAACATTTATAAGGTTAGTAATGTGAAGGTTTCTTTAAGAATTGCATAAAGTGTAGTAAAGAGTTTAGAAACTAAAAATCCTGTTGTGTAGCACTACTGTTGCTCTGCTTGAGTTTTGTTGGATAAAAGAAGACCCTAATAGTGATATACTTGTAGCTCATAGGTTTAGTAAGCCATTCTAAAGGAACTTTTCCCCATAAGATCCGATGAATTGTTGCATAAGCTTTTGTAAAATGGATATGCTTTTATCACTGCAGGTTCCCCAAACTAAATGCTTAAGGGTATAATACAGGCTTTCTGTTTTATACTCTTTTGCTCTACATTTCCTCAGTCTTGTCATTTGGCATTAGAACGATGAAAGTTACTTGCGTGGTGGTGGCTTACTGGTGTCACCAGTACAGCACTGCATGACACCCCAAAGTTGATTTTTGGGAATAAGTGTTCCTGTTTCCACCCTGAGGGAGCATCATGACTGACAGACACATAGACAGACAGACCGACAATGTTGCCAATGATCACTGCAGAAATTGTCATGGTTTCCCAAACTAAGAATTGTCTCTGAGATCCTGGCGGGGGGGGGAGGGTTGTGTACATGAAAGCAAATGTTCTTTGAGATAAAAGACTAAAGAGAATTTAAGAATCTGAGATAACAGAATTGATAACAGTGTAACAAAATGGCAGACTTTTTCAAAAAACATATTATTCTATATCAACCGTTCTCCCAAGTGAAAGGACTTTATGGTTCATCTGTTTATAGCAGCTGATTCATTGCAGTTCCCAAAGCTGTTTTTGGGTGAATTTGATGTTTTGCAGTTGGGATTTGCTAACAGGTCTCTCCCAATAGGCAAATAATGAAGCCAAATTAAAGCAAAAATAATTTTCCTCTGAAAGCCCCATATAAAACTTGCATATGCAAAAAAAAAAAAAAAAGAATAATCTAAGGTACTCTAGCATATCACTGTAGTAAAAAATGACCTTTTCTTTAACTTATGCTTCCCAAGAAAGGACTGAGGAAGTAAATTGTGTGCATATTGTCTTAATTCATCTTTATAGTATCCACTTCATGAAATATATTACACATGTGAGGAGTTTTTATAAATTACAGTAATATCTGTCCTATTGTGTTTATTTTTTCGGCTCACAAAATAAAGGCTAAGTACATGTGTTCATCTCGCCCTAAGTATATTAGCCAGTTACTGTAAATCATTATTTCAAAAAATGTACAAGAACAGCATATATTAGAACTTGCTAAATACATTTTTAATTGGCATTAGCTATTGTGGAAGCTGTCATGGTGTCATAAACTCAGGAACATTCATTTGGTTGCAAATAAGCAGTTGAAACACAGGAGTACCTATGAATGGCTTCCAAAGGCTGTTAGAAAGAAACACTCTCTTTCAATTTATTCATATAATTGACTTTTCCTTGTCGCAAACACACACTTCTTAAATTTCCATGTTCCCTATGCTTACAACTTTTTTGTATAGCTGCTTGCCATGTATATGGAGCAATGGCCACTCACAGGCTGGTAAAATAGGGTTATGGAGTGGGCAGGGATGCCTGTGTTTCCGTTGGGATATATATTACAGTCTCCAGCTCCTTATGCTGACGTTGAACACCCTGACGCAGCATTGAGGGAGATACTTGTATGACGTTCTCGTGCGTGGCTGTGAAGAGATACACCCTGCATTCAAAGGATTTGTGTTCCAGCTCACTCTACTTAGAAAACAGCCTGCTGCTTTTTTAACTTTGTACGTACACTGCTGAACTCTTTAAAGCTGTCACTTTAGATACTCTTGTGGATTGAATCTTGTGGGAATAGGCACGATGAAGAGTTATCTCCCTCCTCACATTTGTATGTAGAGAAGCAAGTTATGGAAGCACATGTAATTCAGGTATCATAAATGAAGAAAATAATAGCATGGTGACAGAGATAACTTCCTTTTACATCTCTTGATATTTGGGAATGAGTCTAATCTTAAAGGTGTACAGTACTTAGAAAAAAGTGAACAGAAACTAACCTGTGGAACTTCATCTAGTAGGTGCTCTTGGGTCTTCCTTATACAGCAGATCAGTGATACCTGGAAGATGCTATTTGCAGCCCTAGTCAGCATGTCACGTTTCTAGTAAGCCTTAGGAATACAACCGTATTAGTATTTAAAAATTATGAAAAAGTGAAAATTGAGATTGGGTGATTTGAGATTTGATTTTGCCAGCTGTGAGGGCATAGCCTACTGCCCTAAGCCAAAAGAGATGATTTCCAAATGCCAGTTACTGATGCATTGTGCGCTAAGGGTTTGCATCATGAAATTGCAACTTGCAGTGGCAAGGAATTCAATTTATTTTTTTCATATACTTTGTATTTGTTTTTTATGGATATATTTGTTCTTGTCATGGTACAAATATCTCATATTCTGTCTTTCATTGACTATGACAAAAGAAATAAGCAGGAGCAGATGTGCTCTTAAAATACCGAGATCTGTTTTCTATGCAGAGGCCTTTAACATTCAAGAATGAACATAAACAAATTGAATTATAGAAATTATAGATATATCTGCTGTACCCACAGACCAGTACAGGATTGTTTCCAGTTCTGAATTTACTATTGTTTAGTCCACTCTTAATTTGGCACTTTTCAGATGAGCAAAGTATAGATGTCAACATTTCTTCTTAAGATCATTACAATAAATTAACATATCTCAATGAAATAGTGTTTACAGCTTCCTGATGCCTCTTAAATTAAACTTTTCAATGTTGGCAAATATTGTATTTATTTTTTCCCCAGAGGATCTTCACCATCTGCATGGCCCTTCTCTGAAATGCTGTCCTTACTACTCATTTCAGAAATAAGGTCATGTTTCTAAAATGTGTGCTGCATCTCTTTTTCAAGAATGAACTGGTACACAAGTATGTGGGAGTGGGGGGAGAGGGCAAATAGTTGCACAGATTATCCAACCAAATTTCAGCTAATCAAAGTCTGCTGCCTGCAATAGTGTCTTCATTCAAAAAATATAACTCAAAGACACAGAATGTGGCCCACCTCCTTGCTTGGATGCTGCCTAAGGTTCTAAGGACTGTATAGGCTGTACCTTAAACTCTTCTCTGTTTTAAGGCAGTCTGCTTAGGCTACTGAAGGGTAGAATTATCCTGTTTTTTTTCTGCATAGAAATATTGGCCAGCTCTTCGGCATGTGCGCTAGTTCCAGCCAGGCTGCCAGACATCTGGAAATCCTGGAAAGATGGTTAATTCTCATACACTGATCAACACTATACTGCAGGCTCAGACCACACAAGTGCCAGATCTCCTAGACATGTGCTTATCGCCAAATGCCTAAGATGTATCCGGAAGAGGGAGAGCTGTTGTTTTTCATGCAGTGTTCAATAACACCTAGGATTATTCTGTTCAATATTCAAACATAAGGAAGTGATTCTGTGCCAGAAAGCTTTCCTCCAACCCTTTTTAGACCAACAGTATCAGTTAGTCAAATTAATAAAATGTAACTCTGCCTTCTGCAGACAGTCTGTGCAGATTTGTATTGGCTTTTGCACTGTATCAATTCATTCCATTCTGTTACTGCCTCAAGAAGAGTAGCAGCAATAGTCTAGGAGAAAGCTGTAACAGTAAATCAAGTCATATTTTTAATAGAAATATTCATGATTTTCCTCTTTTTTTGCTTGTTTATTGCAAAACCAAGGTAAACCAGTTAATCCATAATATGGCCTGCTTTCTTTTTGTTGCTAGATATTGACCTGAGATTGAATGTACAAATCTGATTTAGATGGGCAGAGCCTTTTTTTTGGCAGTGATGGTGCCTGTGTGATCTGAACAGACAGCCCGACTAGTTATATACATAGAATGATTTGTAAGTGAAAAATCAGGGCTTTTACCATTTCAGACACGTACGCTTAATAAATGCTGGTTTGTCTGGTATCTATCTACTGTATGACTTTTGTTGGACTCAGCCTGTTATCGTAGGTGGGTACACAACATGGGTAAACTTTTCTTTCGTTGTTCTCCCAATTGCCCTCACAGAAGTTTTCCTAACTTGGAAGTTTGGAAGTAATCAGACTATATTTTTCTTTATTTTGTCCATCTTTAACAGAAACTGCAAGCTGAGTAACAGCAATTTTTCAATGGCTTCTGTAGATATCCTATACATTGATATCACGAGAAGGTGGAACAGCATGGGAATCGATCACAAAGAATCAGGTAACAGTAATATTGTATTTGAAGATAATGAAAGCTGGGGTTTTTGTAGTTTTGCTAGTTCCAACACACCTCCAGTTTCCAGGAGAAATAATGGAAGCAAGGCACATACATCTGAAGCATGTATACGTACAACAAATTTTTCTATTTCGTTTCAAGGGATTTTCCTTTTGTCTGTAGAAGAAAGAGATCTCTTAGTTTTCAGGTTTTTTGTTGGAACAAGTCTTCTGCAGGCCCCTTTTTTTGTGCTTGCAATTTTGCATTCATAATTCTTGTTGCTGTTTGTAGAGGAGCATTTAGAGACATTCCCAGTGGAGCCTCTAACTTAATTACAGTGCAAGGAGATGTGTCCATATTAGAGTAACTTACATGGTCTAGCAAAACAAACAAACGAGCTATGCGGGAGCTAAAAATAAATATGCTCAACTTCTCTTTTTGATTCGACTCTGTTCTCCAAACAGGTTCCTTCAGGGGCAAACAAAACTACCTGTATTATTTTTCCAAACAGGTTCTCTCCCCCCCCCCCCCCCCCCCCCCCCAATCAGGATCTTCCTTATTTTCATTTTCATTGCCTTTGGTATTGGTAAACAAAGAATAATAGGTTCCTGCACAGGCTCACATAGTGCTCAGCTATTAAATTGGCTCCAAAGTCCTGTAATTACAAAAAGCTGCATTTTAACAAAAGAAAAATTCATTAAATAATAAACTTCTTGGAGCAATAAGGTGGGTGTTCCTATCAAGGTACTGCAGATGGCATTTAGCTTACTACAGCTGTGTTGGCAGTATACAGAGGGGCTTAAATCCAAACCTTTAAGGATAAGTATGCTTCTTAATTATCATTTTAAGGGCTAAATAGTCTCATGTTCTAATCCAATGTTAAGATTTTGCTTGTTCTTTGGCAAAGTAAAAATAAAATCCAGTCCACCCATCTCCGTAGTACTAAATGTGTAACATTGTGACAGAAATATATATTTTTAATTAAGCTATTAAGTAGATAAATTAATCATAGCACCAGGAAACTATTTTTTCAAATGAATGACTGTAAGCTTGCAATACCACCTGGTCTATTCTTACATCTGTGTTAACCTTTCATTTTTCCATTTTAAAGTGCTATGGCAAAGCAAAATCTGTATAATCTGTTCATATAATGTTGTTCATACATATTTTGTGTGGTTGATGTTTATCTTTGTTTTGCCGACCAGAACAACAGTGAAAGGAATATTTATTTTCAGTAACACTATAACTAACAAAATGGAGCTCCTTTCTGATTTCTGTCAGCCTTGCAGCTTTTCCTCTGGGCCATACAAAATGCAGCCATTGAGATCATTTTCTCATTGCCTCTTACGCTATCTCGATTTGAAGCTTTTCTTTGTTCCTGTTATCTATGTCAGACACGATACCCTCTCTGTTCTGTGGGTTATTCCAGCCTGCCATTTGTAAACAGGGCAAGAACGTAGAAGAAAAATTAAAAACTGCCTATGTAGAAAATGACATTTATTTTAAAATGGCTTTTTTCTCAAATTAGAATATGTTTTCAGAATCCTGACAGAACTTTAAATCAAAGAGCTTTAATTATTTTCTCTGCTGCTTTTGCACTATTTTGTCTTCTTTTATTTAAATGAAAAAAAAAAAGTAAGCTCTGAGGCTTTGCTATCCTGTAAAACTTCTGCTAGGAAATGGAAACATCAGTTATTGTCCTGTGAACCAAACGCAATTTGGAGCCCTCCTTGCGCACGCAGGCAAAGTGATGATTACTGGTGGCCCAAGGTTAGTCATGCAGAGGCAGTTAGAGATAGTTGCTTTCCTCCTCAGTCATATTTTGCTAGCCTGACTTCTGTAGATGCTGCCCAGAAACGAAAGTACCCAGCGTACAGCAGAAGAGTCTGCTTCTGACCTGCAGGCTCCTTAGGGAGGGGAGCAGAGTGTTACAGGTTACGCTTCCCAGAACAAACTCATGATGAATATAAGTAACAAAGCAAGGCACTTGGCATCAGTGCCATGGCTGTGAAGTAAAGGTGACTTGCTATATGTGAAAGCATATAGCAATGTTAGGACTTTAGCCTTCTCTTCTGTGCAAATCATAAACTCCTGGCTTCATCAGTGGTATTCATCTTTTGTGTCTTTCCTGTAGCCTGTGGATTCGAAGCTCATGTTTTTAACACTAACCTCCAGCTCAGCACTTAACAACTTATTGCGGACAAGTGGCTGTGCTTTCTGCTACAAGCACCCCTTGGTGGAAATTGCACTCCTGTTTGTCCATTTAGAAGCATTATTCACTTATGTCACTTCTAAGCCTTTTTACATCCCACCTGGATTGTAAAGCTAAGTATAAGTGTGTACTAAGTATGGCTAAAAGGCTTTTATAAGAAATTCATCTACCCTAACAAGGGATTAATTTGTCCTGGGACTCCCTCTTTTCTTCAGTTGGTCAGAGGCAGTTTTAGAGAAGACGATTGAATAACCACACTAGGCTAGAGAGAGGGAAGGAGGGGCAGTAGCAAAATATATACAACCCCTGCTTTCCAGGGCAGTAGGAGAGATCACTGATTCAAAAGAGAAAACATCACCTTCTTCAACAGGAGTTGTCAGGTCCATGCCATACCATGCCACTTGGAGTGGACTTTCCATTGAACAACCTCTGGGAGGAACACTGGAAATCAATCATCTAAATTATTTATTCCTACATAAGGAATAGGTGTTTAAATAAAAATATAGCACTTAGAGATGTCAGACAAGAACAGATACTAGGCAAAGTTGTTTGCAAAGCGACACTAAGAATTCTCTAGCATTTTAAAGCCAAAAGGAAACTGTTTATTATACTGTGTGAGCTTATTCCCAGCTTCCTCAGAGATTTACTCTGTGACCATCACATATCTTCCTGATACTGCACTAAATGGTTGGGAAAATGAATCTAAACACTTTCCTATTACATAGTTGCATTTAGACTATTAACCTATTATAGGAAATAGGTCACAATTTAATAAGAAGGCAGGCTCTAGATAGAGCATTCCATCCTTCTCTCTCTCTCTCTCTCTCTCTCTTTTTTCTAAATTTGATTACATTGCTTATTTTTTGTGGCTTTATGTATAAACATGAAAATCAGTTTCATCTACTGAAAAAAATAGATCTTTCTCAGGCTGCCCAAATCTGTACTGTATAAATCACATTGCTCAGTCTAAAGATACAAACTGTCTTCATTTTACTTGTATCTACTGTAGAGTTCATCCACACTCACTACTTTGGCTTATAAAACAGGTTTTTCCTAAATTCCTTTCAAAGGAAAGCAAGCTAATTGAAATGTCAGTGTTTTCTTCTTTCGTTAGGGTGGTTCAAGATATCTGTGGCTTTACGTTTGGCCCGCTTCCACCTGTAATCGATACAATAACTATTGCTATTGTGATAAAACAGCAGTTTCTAACTTTTTCATTAAATGCTTCACATGATTGTCACTTCTTTAGAAAGTACGTATGCTACCGAGGGTACTTCTCTGCCTGTAGCTCACCGTGACTGATAAAATATTTATTGAGCTGGCAGCTGCTGCTTTCAGATAAACCAACAATTTCTTTGCAAGCTGTTTTATAGCCAAGATCATAAGTGACCCCAACTACACTCTTAGTTGCGAGAAATTATACTTCAGAATGTAATTGTAATATTTTTTAAAATATGTCTTTCCAGCGGCATCAGTACACCAACGCTGAGTTAAAAAAACCCCAAATCTTTCAATATCTCATCTTAAAATAATCTTCTAAAGGGTATGTTCGATCTGGGTGAACCAATTAAAACACAAAGCAGCTATGACTGTTCCGTGTTGCTGAAAAGCTGCATTGTGGTCTGGCTTCTTGATTGGGAATTAAATAAGATATTACTTCAAGGTTTAAAAAAACAACAATGACTGTTAATGTGCAGCCACTCTTTGCACTGTCTGTGTTAATATATTATTAATATGATGTGATCAAACAACACCTGAAGAGTTCTGTCCTGCAGCATCTGGCTTCTGCAGGGTACTTTTGTTCATGAAGGAGCAGAGCAGAGTTTTGTTATAGCGGAAGCATTTTTTGGCAATGCTCTGCTTTCCCTTTTTGCATGCTTCAACTGGTTGTCTTTCATGTCATTGAAACAAAACTACTATTTTAGAGCACCTGACTTGGATCTTTCCTGACATTAGTAAAGTGTATGCTCATCTGGGAGTTACATAGAAGAAAAGGAGACTAATTAACGTTGCACAAACAATGTATTTTTCTGGAGGCACAGCAGATATTGGAGTCCTTTGGAATAAGTTTAAATTCTATATGATAAATCTGTTAAAACCTACCTCCCAACTGCCATCTCCTCATCTGAGAGGACTGGTAGTAATATTGGAAGGTTGATACTTAGATTTCCATTTCATTTCTATAAATCTGTGCCTGGATTGGATATGTTGGTAGGTAGGGAAACCTCTGTAAAACAGCTGCTGATGAATAAAATCCATTCCAGTTTTTGGCAACTCCCTTAGATGTCATGAGCCAAATAAGTCCTCTGTGCATACCTTTCAGGTTTCAATTTTATTGTATTTGCCCTGTGGAGAAGGACAATGTGCCCAATCTCTCATTTGTAGTCTCCTTTAATTAGTATCGATCCGGTCAGCAAAGGGTTATGCTGTGAGAAGTGGACACTTTGCATGTCCAGTGGTTAAGAACATATTTACAAAAAGTACAGGGACCGCACTTCTGAGCAGGGTAATGGTGGAGCAGAACATGGAGCTGGATACTGGCTTAAATGCAGTCTAAGTCCTTTTGTACAGAAGGTGTAGAGAGGCCCAGTCCAGCTTTTACTGCAAAATACCTTCCTTACCAAAGTCATCAATATGACTGATAAAAAATTGCCTCTTTGGCCTCCAGAAGGAAGGCTAAAGATTCATACATACTACAGTCTTAGTAGATGGAAAGCAACACTTAGCAGAACTCACTTTTGTGATAACATGAGACCGGTAATGGGGTTATCTTTGTAGTGCTACAGACTTACTGTTTGAGTGGTTCTACTTTCCACTTTTTTTTTCAGGTCCATCTCTAAAAAGACAAGGTTTAAACGACCCACTTCAGTTGCACATATAACTTGTTTTTCTACACAGGTGGATTTTATTCCCTGAAGCTCTATACGTTAATGTTTATTTGATTGGGTTTCAACTTACTACTTGAGGCAACAGAAATCAAGTCTGATCTTATGTCAATTTAATTGTGCAAAATCTTAAAATCAGTTGTTGCTGTAGCAGTTTTACTGAGGATGCCAGGCTGCTGCTCAGGCTAGTGTTTGTAGAAATCAGTCTCTATTTCTGAACAGCCTCACCGATTGAGAATATGATCCATCTGTAACCCAGCCTGGGCGTACTTGCTATACTGAAACACTAAATGACCTGACAGGTGTGTCATATCCAAAGAAAATATTGTCTTTTGGTCTTTGAAGGACAGATGGGTTTTGTTTTGTTAATGAACATTCTAGGTGGCTGCTGTTTAAATTAAAAGATGTTAACTCACATGATTGCATGTGCAGGCACCCTGGCACATATGCATTCGGTTCTGGTGCTAAAGAAACAAAAGTATTATGTTTAAAGAATGCAGTATGCTAGAGAATCTCCTGTGTTGTGAATCTCCTATGAACTCCTTTTCCTTGCAGGGATGTGTTGGCAAGCCTTTGTGGAAGCTTTCTTCTGCCTGGCTCAAAAAAAATACAAGTCACTCCCACTTCGTGAGCAAGTGGCATCATTGATTGATTTTTGCGAATACCATCTAGCTGTTCTGGATGAGAAGCGCCTGGTTTGTGGCCGAGGGATTGCGGAGCGTCGAAATGCACTAGTTACCTGCCAGACAGATGGACTTCCGCTTACACCAGCTGCTCATACATCCCTCCTGAATCGCGTGGCCACAGCTAGTAAGCTTGCAGATTATAGAAACCATCGATACTAATGGTGCTATTTTTTCAGGGCAGAGCAGGGGGAGACTGATGGAAGTGAGAATTAATTCCCAGGTACATACAACAGGAGGTGGAACAGACTCTTGAATTCCTCCATCTGATAGTCAAAATAGTTTTACAGCTTGTTTGGATTTACGCTCTTCAAAAAGTCTATTGCAAGCTCCCATTTCCAAGTAATGACCCTTCCTGGCAATGACTATTTATTTACTTCTCCACAGAACCTGCCGTACATCTTGAGTGACAAACTGTGTCTTTATCCCGCTTGTATAGAAAACCATGCATGTAGACAAACAACAAAAATTGTAAGGGGATGATAACCAGCATCATGGGACTGGTTGCACTGATTGAGAGGCACGCTTACGTGAAAGGAATTATGTTGCTTTGTATGCACTGGATGTATTGTGAAAAGCAAGTAAGGATTTGCAGACTCAAATACCAGTTGTGTGTTTTGGCACACTAAAGCCTGGAATTATGTATGTGGTCAAACTTTAGGCTGTGACCATCTTTTTTGCTAGCTTGGACTGAATTTGTTGGTATCAATACAGATTTTGTTCATTGCCTACAGCTATGTACTTCATTCACATTTTAAGTTAATCTTCAAACATTGAAATCATAATATTTTTACTTCCATTTCTTCATACGTGACTCTGCCAGGACAACTACTGTTAAATTTTTAAAGAAAAACTAAAGCTGTTTGCCCTTTTTGCTTCCAGAGAGCCAATAAGCTCACACTTATTCACAGAAACATTAGCTTTGTTCAGTCAAATTTGGTGAATCAAGCGGTGTTTTTGTCTTCAACTACTAAGCGCTGCTTCTGCAAAAAGCTACGTAAGAGTCCCTTTGCAGTATACAGGCCTGAGAGTTCATTTGGAGTCCAGTGAAATCAGTCCAGTCACTGGACTTCACGCTTCAGTATCCTAGGACTGTTTTTTATTTTCTTTTGGTTTTGGCTTTTGGCTGTTTGTTATCCTATTTGGACCTACAGTAGCATCTAAAGTAGATCTTTTTTCTCTTTGCATATGTTCTTCATTTTTTCCTTAGATAGCAGTATAATTCTCTAGAAATTAGAACTGTATTATGTAACAGAATATTTTGTCAAGAATGCTGGACTATACCATTATAGCTTTTTTTGAAGGAGTTATACAGAGTATTCTTAATTTTAAAGAAATGAACCATGAGTTCCATAATCACACTTAGAGGGGCCTAAGTAGAGACATGAGGATATTTGAAAGGACATGAATAACTTGGCACTTCAGGGCTAGGTTTCTCCTTTTTTTTTTTTTTTCCATTTTTTTTTTTTTTTTGGTCTCATACCTGAACTTTTCAGTTTTTGCCTACATGAAGCATCTTTTAATAAGATGCTTATTCTTCTTTATTATCCTGATGGACCTTCATTTACTGTTTTCTATTCAGTTGTATAAGAACATGAACAACTCAAACTCAGTAGGTTTTGATTTCACAGATATTTTTAGGAGAAAAGTTGTATGCTTTCAGTTCTTAATATATGCAGAAAATTATCTCAGCTTGATGCCTAAATGCTGTAATGGCTGGCGTATCAGAAATACCTTTGATAAAGTCTTATGTTTTAAATATGACCTTATGGGAAGTACATTTTCAGTGCAGAGGATTTAGGATCTTTAGACCCATTTGATGCCATGGACTAAATGCATACACAGTATTGAGTGAATTCTTGCTTCAAGAAAGGTTTAGAGTTTACTTTTTTGATGTTACTTTTAAGTAGCATGCATTTTTACCAAGTGGCAATCAGTAGCATGGCTGTACAATTCAGAAGTCAAGCTGAGCCCACAAGAAACTGAGACTCAGAATGTGTTAATATAAGATGCAGAAGTACCTCCTTATGCTCTTCTTTGTCTTTTCCTTAACACAAATAATAATAGTAGTAGATAATCTTTTCTTTCTGTAATAGCTAGACTGTTTGAAATTTTATGTATTGTACAGTTAAGAGGACAATTGTTGACTAATGCCACTGCCCTCAGCTTTGGTTGTTTCGTAAAGATTATTGCAGTATGAAGATAAAATGCCAAACTCCAACGTTTGGCATCTGTCAGCACAAATGAAGGTGAAAGGGTCATTTTTTTCACCGTTTCATTGTGATATATCTGAAGACGTTCACAAGTTGAAAAATGGTTACTTCTCATTTTGTGACATCTGACATTTGTCTTGCGATTGGCAGTGTGTTACTAGAAAATAGCTTGCAGTTTCTCTCATCTTGTGATTGATGTTCTGTAGAGACAGACTTACAGAAGAGTAGGATTTGAAATGTTACAAATGTGACTGCCTTTCCTTAGAGCTTTCAAGTAGTACCACCCATGCCCTAAAATATCAATTTTTTGCTGCCATATACCAGTTACCCTAATATCTAGGTGAAATAAATTAACTATTATATATAATGAACACTGATAAGATCTCTCTGTATTTTGATGTTCTTTATATTCTCCGGATCTAATACAGGTTTTTATAGTCTGTACACACACAGGCTATAAATTGGGCAGTAAACCCAATTTGTCTCCTACTTCTAATAGGAAGGGTCGCTTGTAGAATAGTCAAAATATTCAATTATCTTTCTCTAGTAATCCAGTGTTCATATATTTATATAATTGGAAAATTTAATGCTGTATTATTCTCTGGGGAAGAATAAAATAAAATAGGAGCGTACTTAAGAGATGTAATGACAAAGTCACATTTCTTCCCTCCCATCTAATGCAATTTCTTCCCAATGTTCTTTTGCATCCAAAGCAATTTCACATACCCTTTCAGTTAGTAGTCTGTGCACACACAAAAATGACCAGAGATGCTTAATTCAGAATATGAATGCTAATCACGGATGATAATCTGTTAATCCTGAGGTACCTTTCCAGCAGAAGAAACCATAAATGAATGATGTTTAAGTGTTTTGTTTTTTAGAAAACAGTACTTTTCTATATATTCTTTTCAGAGAGTAATATAGCATTCAGTATTCCATTTATAAGCATATGTGAACATTGCATACCAGTGAAATCTTTCTCATTATTAGACACATTGGGGCTGGTGTTCCCCACTGGGTCTAAATCAAAATAAATCACCTAAAAATCTGAAGCAGATTTGAGGCACCTGTGCCCAGAATGTAAGTCCAGACAGCTCCTCTCTCTCAAGGTTTGTATCTAGCCTGAACGTGCCTACATTCACTAGGTGACTTTTTGTAAGATTTTCAGCTAAGCGAGTTCTGTCTCTGCATATAGCCAGAAGGAGCTGTTGTCCTCTGAGTTACTTGAGATTTGCCTTTTGCCTAAACTGGCCTAAACTCCCAACTCACCCATCGCCACGTGCTCTGAGAACATTTAACATACACCCAAGTGGATCACTTCACTTGCCATTCAGTTCTGGCTACTTTCGTTAAAACCCAGCTGCAAAGGGAGGTACTCAGCTAATTATACTATTAACCTGTGTTGAGATGTGAGGACCCCCCCCCCCCCCTCTTCTCAGGTCCAGGCTTCTCCTCCCCATGCCCTGGGGGGTGACCCCTTTCTGCTTGCTCTACCCCTGCGGTGGCACTAATCTTGCATTCAGCCTGTCCTCGGGGAACCCATCAGCATGAAACCCTTGTGACGAGGAGGGCTCTCCTCCTTGGTCTGCGTTTTAGAAGAAACGAGACTTGCATAGCCCTTTGAAAACAGGGAACGTGAATATCCTCGTATTCTGAGCGCTAGCGGCCGAAGAGGCAGGAGGTCTGTGGCGATTCAGCGAGCGCGACAAGGGCGTTGCTCCTACGCTGTTGAACGTGGAAGCCCTCGGGGCAGCATTAAAATCCTAGGATGAGCTGCTGAAGGAGGAGCAGCTGCCAACAGGATCTACCTGGACGGTGCCTGGACGCCGTTGCTCCTGCGTGAGTTATAAGTTACTGACAAAGCATGCATCTTTCATAAGGACGTCTAGCCGCCCCCTGTCCAGCATTGCGCTTGCTTGCTTGCGCGAACAGGAGCTGGAACGCCCGCCGCGGCGTGGGTTTCGGTCTGGGGCCGGGCACCTCCAAACCAGACACCGCGACGGTGCCTCTGGTTCTAGGCAGCCCCGTGTCTGACCCTATTCTGATTTCTGTGCGATGGGCAGTGACAATCTGTTCCTAGATATCACCCAGTTCCCTGTAATTTATTTTCGTTGTCATCATGCTTTGTTGTTTTTTCCTCTTAACGCCGTAGTTCTGCCTTTTCAGCTTGCCTAATAAACTGCTGCGGTCAGTTTGGCTGAATCCGTTAGTTCAACTTCCTGTGTGGCCTTTTCTGTAAGGCGCGCGTCTCCCTTTTGAAGGGGAGCGTATCCTGCTCCATCCTTCTGCGGCGTCAGCGGGCGTCAGGCTTTGCTGAGCAGACGCATCAAGTTTAGCTTTTCGGCGCCCCGTCAGCAGCCTGATCTCTGCAGCTTTCATTCGGAGCGCCGGCCCTCCACGCGGTCGGTCCGACCTCTTGGACGTGGCGGTTTCCTTTGGGAGGCCTTTATTTGCGGTTTCACAGAGCAGAAAGGCATAAAGGCTTATGCGGTCTAGTGGAGCCGGAGCAGAGGGAGCCCCGATGGGGGTTCGCGCCGGCCGGCCCTCGCAGGCGGCGCTTCTCGCCCTAAATAAAGACTTGTAACCCAACCGTGAAGTTCAACGCGCGCGAATCCGCGCGCTTCGTCACCGCGGGCGACGCTGAAAGGGTTGCAG